ATTATAATTAAAAAAATAAATTAAAGAAATTATATAAAAAATGAGAACTTTTAAATAGTTGATTTGATATTAACATTGATATATATTTTTTTTCAAATTCTTATGACATATTCAAATTTATATTTTATTTAAAAATAAAATCATTATTGCTTTCTTAAAAACACATAAAATCGTATTATAACATTAACAGAGACAAAAAATAAAATAGAATATTAAAATCGAGATGTGTCTTGCTGTATTGGGCGAGTACTCTTCTAATATATTATAAAACATTTGATAAAAATTCTTAAAAATCATTTTTTATGCATGAAGTACTGTTTATTGATGTATATTACTTAAATTTCAAGATCACAATAATTATACGTAAATACAACTTATTAAAATTTCATGTTTGATTTCGTGTAACCAATTGCAGATAAACATAATCAAATAGATTATAAACATCCATTTTAAATATAAGAAATTTAAAATATAATTAGAATAATTATTGACTTATAACATGATTATTATTTTATTTATATGAAAAATGATATTATTAAACCAAAAATAAAAAAATGAATGAAAGAAATACATAAAAAACAAGAAAATTTAAATAGTTTGTATGGTACTAATATCAATAATTTTTTTAATTTTTTATGATATATTTATATTTTATATAAAATAAAAACATTATCTCTTTTTTAAAATAATATAAAATTATACTATAATATCAATTGAGATAAAAAAACCAAAACATTAAAATTGAGATATATCTAACTGTATTGTAGAAATAACTTCGAGTTTATTTTTAAAAAAAGTTGTGTAAAAACTTAATCACAACTCGTTGCCTTCCGCCGGATGCTTTTTCAATAATTCATTCTCAAGTGCTTCAATCTTCATCGTTCTTTCTTCGACAGCAAACCCTTAAAGTTTCTTCTTCTCAGGTATTATCTTTCTCCATCATCAATTGCCTTTTAATTGCTATTCTTGTTTGTTTTTCTCTCTGATCATGTGATAATTAAAATGGGTTTATAGATTTTGTATGTAAGAGCTGACTTCAAATCTACTTTCTGATCGATAGATTTTGCATTTGTATGATGGGTGGAAGTGATGCTAGAACCCTAATTTTGGTTGGGAAGACCGGAAATGGGAAAAGTGCGACGGGTAATAGCATCCTTGGAACGAAGATGTTCCAATCGAAACGCAGTTTCTGTGGAGTAACAAGTCGTTGTGAGTTGAAGACTACTGTAATGGAAGATGGCCAGATGCTTAATGTGATTGATACACCTGGTATTCACCTTCACTAACTTAAGCCTTCTTGTAGAGTTTCAGATTACATCATTAACTGATTTTGCAGGGCTTTTGGGTTCTTCTGTTGGTCGTGGAACTATTGGGGATATCTTCAGCTGTATCAAGTTGGCTATCGATGGTATTCATGCTGTTCTAGTTGTATTCTCAGTTTTCAATCGCTCTTTTGAAGAGGAAAAGGCTGCAATAAGTAGTTTGCAGTATTTGTTTGGAAAAGGAATTTGTGATTACATGATTGTTGTTTTCACTGGTGCTGATGAACTGGAGGAAGATGGTAAGACATTGGAAGATTTCTTATATGAATGTCCACAAGCATTGAAGGTGAGATCATGTTTGCATTCATTTCATGGCACTTGATCTTGTCCAAGTGTTCTAATAGACTTCTTTATAGGACTTATGCCACTTGCATGCTCTATCTAAAAGTGTTCTAAAAAGCTTTGTTAAGATACTCAAAGGCGTCATATTATCCATTAAGACATTTTAAACACTTTGGGCGTTCTATAAACTTGATTTTGTTGTCGTGTCTGTGTCTATTTGATATTACTACTTGTATATGTATGATTGAAATGAAACTGAGTTATTATTTCAGGAAATTCTATGTCTGTGTGGCAATCGTTTTGTTCTTTTTGATAACAAGACGAACAATGAAACGAAGAAAGCGAATCAAGTGCAGACACTTCTGTCTCGTGTAAACATGGTGCTAGAACAGAATGACGGAGAGCCATATACCAACAAAATCTTTACTGAAATGAAGGTGAAACGAACTGATCATTACCAAGTTATTGCAATTTAACTCTTGGTGTATAACAAGACATTGCAATCGTCGTGATATCGGTATCGATATTTAATTGACAGGAACGGAAGAAGGAACATCCCGAACCAACAAAAGAATTTCAAGTCTTGACTGAACAGGAGATGTTACTGCTGATTGAGAAGATTCGTGTTGAGCATTTGAATCCCAAAATAGAAATGGTACATTTACATTGTTTTCTTAAGTTTCATTCGTAATCCATGATCTTATTAAGAAGACTATGCATTTTATCTGTTCTTGTTTGTAATATCCTTCTGTCTATTCTTAAACGATGTTTTCATCTGAGTGTCATATGGGTCAACGTTTAAAGATTGAGAATCCACTCACTACAACAAAATCGGGTTTATAGGACACTCCTAATTTCGAAGCGTCCTAATAAACCTCTTTATAAGACTTAGTTTATAGGACCAAAAAAATAAAGCGTCCTATCTAAAGACGTTGTAATAAGTTTATATGATGTTTTTTGACATTGTAATAAGTTTTTTAGGACACTTTTAATATAAGGCGTCTCATTAGCAACTTTATTGACACTATTTGAAAAAATGTCCTATAAAACAAATGTTCTATAAAAATCGAGTTTATAGGACACTTTTGAGAAAGTGTCATATAAAGTTGCTAATACGACACTTTGTATTAAAAATGTCATAAAAAACTTGTTAAGATGCTCAAAAGTGTCATATAAACTTATTACAACACCTTTAGATAGGACGTTTTATATTTTGGTCCTATAAATTAAGTCTTATAAAACGTTCTATTGGGACACTTAGAGATTGGGCGTGTCCTATAAACCCAATTTTGTTGTAGTGATTGCAACAAGATTGGCTTTATAGGACTCCTAGAATATTTAAACTATACTTAACAAGTCTATAGGGCCAAATTATAAAATATAGGATATTTTTACGCGTTTTAACAAGTTAGGACACTTTTTGAGAATTGTCCAATAAACACATCTTTTTATAGGACACTTGTGTTTTAGTACTCTTTTTTCAAATAGTGTTATATAAAATGACTAATACGACACTTTATTTTGAAAGTGCTCTAACATAACTTGTTAAAATGTCGCGTCTCATAAACCAATTAGGTACGCTTTTTAGTTTGATCTTCTACACTTCAAGACCTAAAAAAATATTTTATTAGAACGCTTAGACATTTTAGGCATCCATAAAGCAATTTTCTTGTAGTGACCTGATACCTACACAAGGAGGGGAAGGGTTGCTTTTGGTACATGGGACTAGACAGGACATGACATCACAAAACTTACCGTCTCATATTTAGTGCTTCATGGGACAACCAAAATAGGTGAAACAAGTCGGGATATACTGGTCTATCTGTATTTAAAAGGCTACTCAATACGCTAATGCAACGTGGGATTCACAAGCAACGTGTACACATAAGCTTTTCAGGTGATTTCAAGTAGTTGATGCATATTATAAACGAGTATTTTGGCTATTGACATATTATTGTCGATAGATGGAGACAATGCTGATGAATATGAAGTTGAAGTTTGAACAAGAATTGAAGGAAGAGCGGGATGCACGGTTGAAGTTCAAAGAGAATACTGAAAATGCAAAAAAGAAGGATTTCCCGGGATTCGAGAGTTACTCATCGTCACGCCTCTTTTGACTTTTGATTAAAGTTCGGAAGATGAAAACTAGCTACGATGTTAATGTCCCATTTATGGGTAGTACCAACGTGTGATGCGAGTTTTTTGGTCTTCGTTTTCGTTCCTTCCCGTATGCTGCTGGTTAATTCATCTTGGAATTCTAGTACCATTTGCTTTTAGTTTGAGCCAAATGAAGCTGATGCTCTCCTTTTATTTGCTTTCCTCTTCCATTTCTTCTGTTTTTTCAAACCTCAATACTAGTTGTCTATCCGTGCAATGCATCGGGATGTAAGAAGGTCATTAAGAAAGTTGTAACAAAGCCTACTACATTTGTATCTAATTTAGATTCATATATACTGTTAACCACAATCCGAATGACTGGAGCGGTGGAGCAAGATACAAGCATTTGCTAAGGACTGGAGCGGTGGAGCAAGATACTCGACCCATATCACAGTCCATCTTGAATATATTGAATCAAAAAAACCCTTAAAAGCAAATGAGTTTGTTAAAGTATTTAGATATTGTAAATGTAGATTTGGAGCTCTAAAATGCCGACATTTGAAACAAGCAGCTAGCTTAAACCCTAGTAGTAAAATGGAAAGCCAAAAGAAGACCTTTATACAATTATAAAAACGTGTGAAAGTTGTAAGGGCGTCGGTGCGACTAGAGGAGGCTAGGAGAGAAGGTGAGGAACGGCGGAGGCGAGGAAGAATGTAGTTGGGGCAATTGACGTGATTGGAAAAAATCAATCGTGAATTATGAAAATCTGAATTTTACATTGGAAATGATTATAGAGTTTTTGATGGTTTGATGAAAATCTTGGAAACACAAAGGGTCAAAAGTTGAAAGGGACAGATGGTTTAAATTTTCAATGTCTATTGAGAACAAAAACTAAATATGAGAAATATAAAACTATATGTGCGGTAAAAGGTGAAACATTGTTGAGTCGTACTATATGCATAAATGACTTCTAATCAAGACTTTTAAAATTTTATGCATAAAGAAACATTACCTTATGTATTTAAGATTGTTTTTAAGACTTCTATCAAATCTGCTTTATAAGATAGTATAGATAACCAAGTTTATGGCAATGCAAATGAATTATACATCAAAATAGCAATCTAAGTGCAATTCAGAAAACCCTTTGATTATATATTCTATAAGATGGAGTAAATTCTAAAGCGAATGAAGTTGGTCGGAAATTTACTGGTCTTAGAGGTATTTTCTTTAAGACCAATGGATTTGTGACCAACTTCGTTCGATTATAATGCATGGTAACACATGATTTATTGCATCGATGTGAAGATAGGTTATTTTAGTTAATTGGAGAAGTCTCTAAAACTTAATATTGATAAAAGAGATATTTATACTATATTATAAAGCATTTGAAAAAAATTATTAAAAACAATTTTTTATGCAGAAAATACTATTAATTGATACATATTACTTAAAATCCAAGATTACAAGTAGAATGTGCGTGGGTACATCTTATTAAAACTCTATGTTTAAATTTGTGTAAATAACTTCAAATAAACATAATCAAATACATGATAAACATCATTTTAAATATAAAAAATCTAAAATATAATTAAGATAATCATTGAGTTCTAACGTAACAAGAACCGATAATCTTACGTCTTACCGGTTTAATTACCTTACAGGGTGAACATAACAAAAACCGATAATCTTACGTCTTACTCGGTAAGAGGGAATACAAAGATCGGAAGTCTTACGCGGTAAACAATCTGGTTTAAAACATTTACCAACAATACATTTTAAGGGGGTGTTTGGGATTGCTTATTTTAGCTGTTTTTTTTTTTTTTGACTTATTTCAGTTTGGCACCGGTGATAAGCTAAATGCTAGTGTTTGGATGAGGAAAAATAAAACTGCTTATACCGGTGTCAAACAGGTAATAAACTGTTTTTGATAATTTAATCATTCTTGACTTATGAAATACTGTTTATTACCCGTTTAACATTTTAACCTTGTTTTATTAATGTTTGTTAATTATTAATCTAAATTATTAATCTTATTGATATAAATTTTTGTCAAATATATTATTATAAATGATGGAAAAAAAATTACATGTTAAAAAATCAAATAAGTTAATAAACAATCTCAAACACTCCCATAAGTCAATAACATGAAAGACTGTCTTTTTTAATTATTATATATATATATATATATATATATGCAAAATTTGGCAAACACTACAAAAAAAACAACTTATCAACTTATTATTTTTTGATATCACTATAAGCAAATCCAATTTTTTTTTACAAAATTCCGATTCCTTTGTATGTAGTTCACTCTCAACTGTTCAAAGCTTCATCATCCATTGTTCAACATCGAAAGCTAAAAATGTATGGATCTTAGGTTTTAGCATTGTGCTTGAATACGGCATGATCGATTGCTATTTCTTTGAATTGTCTACGGTAATTGTTCTTTCCACAAGCACACTCGGCACTCTTATACTGACTTGAATGTAATTTTGTTCTGCTTATAGATTTTGCATTTTGTATGATGGGTGCAAGCGATCCGCGAACCCTAGTTTTGGTTGGGAAAACTGGAAACGGGAAAAGTGCAACAGGAAATAGCATCCTTGGAAAGAAGATGTTCCGATCGAAGCGCAGTTTCTGTGGAGTAACAAGTAGTTGTGAGTTGAAGACTACTGTACTCGAAGATGGCCAGATGCTTAATGTGATCGATACTCCTGGTATTCACATTTACTAACATAAGCCTTCTTGTTAGGTTATTTCTGATTAGGGATTATATATAGGGGCAGGTTAATGGAATCTGAATATATATTATATATATACATACATATCTATATATATATACATGATGATTCAAATGCAACCCATCAATTGAGATATTTATGGAAATAAGAGGAGTTCATTTATTATGATTTGAATATTTACAGAAGACGACTAAGGTTTATTAATTATGATCAATGTTTTATATTAGGAAACACTCATAACTTTTATGAAATTACATATTCATCAAATTAAATGGATGGTTGAAATTAAGTTGTATTGGTTGTACAAATGTAAATGATCACATGATAACTCACCTCTTTCTCTCTCTCTCTCTCTATATATATATATAGTGACAGGCTGAATGAATTAGGAACCAGTGAACCATCTGCAGCCACATGTGGCATATTTATAAAGAATATGGATGTGTTATTCAACATGAATGTTGTAACATATTCATCATGAATGTGTTATCCATGATGAATAAAACATCCATATTCATGATGAATGTGTTATTTATGATGAATATTCATCCATAAAAGGGACATGGGGCGCCCTATAGGTGGTTCCCTTCTTGGGTTGACAATTTTAGGTACCAAACGAACCTGCCCCTATATGTATATGTACGTATATCTCATGTTTTAAACGAAAATTAGAGTATCAGAGCTTCAGATTACAGCTTTAACGAATAACTAAACCATGCTTGTGTGTAACTTATTTTGTTCTTTTAGTTGTTTATGATTTACCATTAGTCTGTAACACAGATACTCTGGCATTCTGGCAGGACTGTTTTATTCTTCTGTTGATCTTGAAACTAATCTGAAGGAGATTGCTAGTTGTGTCAAGTTGGCCATCGATGGTATTGATGCTGTTCTTCTTGTATTCTCGGTTTGCAATCGCGTTTTTGAAGAGGAAATAGCTGCAATAAGTAGCTTGCAAATGTTGTTTGGAAAACAAATTTGTGATTACATGATAGTGGTTTTCAGTGGTGGTGATGACATAGAGGAAGATGGCCAGACTCTTCAAGATTTCTTGTATGACTGTCCAGAACCATTGAAGGTTGAGGCCTGCCAATTAGTTAGATGTCTTTAAGAGCTTGTGATTCAATGTTTTCGTAGGTTGATGTTTGCATTTGTTACGTCTGTATACAGTATACAGAACTTGATCTGGTTTTCAGACAATTCCTAGTGACTTATTTTCTTTTGTACAAATTCTTTACATTCCCACTTCAGTTTTTTGACTGATATAAAATCTGCTTATTGTTTCAGGAAATTCTTCGTCTGTGTGGCGATCGATTTGTGCTTTTTGATAACAGGACGAAAGATGAAACAAAGAAAGCCGATCAAGTACAACAACTTCTTTCTCTGGTAAACATGGTGTTAGAAAACAATGGTGGACAGCCATATACCAATGAAATCTTTACTGATTTGAAGGTGAAATTTATTGTTCATCATCAATTAGTTGCAATTATACACTTGGGTCTTTAATAGCAACACGTTGCCATCGTTATGGTAACAATGTTTACGCAGAAATGGAGTAGCGAACTTGAGGGACAAACAGAAGAATTTCAAGTCTTGAAAGACACCGAGGGGCATTCTAAACAGCAGATGTTAGAGCTGATGGAGAATATGCATGTCGAGCATTTGAAGCGCACAAATGATATGGTAATTTTACATGGTTTTTGTAGTTTTCCTTAGCTTTACATGATCATATGAAGATGAGTTTCTGTTAGGCCTGATACCCTGCTCTTCACCTATTCTAGTCAGGGGCGGTACAGAAGCCTTCTAACTCTGGGCGGGGGGCGAACTTAATCCATGAATATAGCATTAAAGTTGAAATTGAAGTATAGCATCGAAATTAAGAACTTGAAACTTAACCCATGAACATGTCAAAAGAAGCCATGAATCATTGAAATTGATAACTTTAAGACTTCAAACTACAAGTTAGAAAAATGGAACTTTTGATAATGGACTCTGCCAGGGGGTGCAAGTATAAGAGTCCTTAGAATTCTTTATAGGACCTAAGTTTATAAGTATTTTAGGACCCTTTTGAATAAAGCATCGTATTAGCTATTTTATATGACAATTTTGAAAAAATGTCCTATGAACCCATCTTCTTATAGGACATTTGTGTTTATATGACACTTTTTTAGTAGTGTCATATAAAAAAGTTAACACAACCCTTCATATTAAAAACATCCTAAAAACTTGTTAAAACGCTATAAAAACCTACTGTAACACTTTTACATATGGTGCTTTTTGGTTTAGCTGTATAAACTTAAGTCGTGTAAAGCATTTTATTAGGCTGAATAGATATTTTAGATATTAAATGTCACTTTTGTGTCTTTATAGCGTTGATTTAAATTGATGCTTGTACTGATTTCATATTTCAAAATGAAGTTTTGGCAAGTGACAGTTTTGTATGTTCATAGCTTGGGTTGATGCTGACAGAGATGAAGTTGAAGTTTCAACAACAATTGTTGGAAGAGCAGGCTGCACGGTTGAAGGTCGAAAGGGATGCTGAAGCTGCAAGCAATAAATCCAAGGAGGATATCGTGCGGTTGGGTGAAAAGCTACAAAAAGAGCTGGCTGCTCGGTTTATTTGGGGTCATTTTACATGTTTATAAACTTGTTTTTGTCAAACATGATTTGTTCATCAGCTAACTTATTAGTTACTTGCTAGCTTATCAGCCATCACCTAGTTTATTACATGGATCAGAGTCAAGATCTCTACCAGTTAGGGATTTGGTACCCTGTATTGCCTAGCCCCTTCACTTGTCAATGAGATTATCTTCCGTGTCTACCCTACATTAGAGGGGCCTGTTAGAGTCTCACATTAGTTATATTTGGACCATTTCATTATCATATATGTTATCGATTTTCCTGTTTTGTGGTTCATACCGTTTGTTTATCCTAATATTCTTTGTAGTTTATAATGTTGTTCAGTTTTCGTACATTCGGTTTAATGGTGTTAGAAAAACGACCAAAATCAAGCGAAATTGCAAACGAAGGTGGTAAAATTGATCAATTGAACAAGTTCTTACAGCTCGTAGTTTTTTTAAACACCCTTAAGTTGTTGCAGAATACAAGAGAATGTGAAAATATATGAAACCCTCATATTTAATCTCCAAAATGAGCCTTTAAATAAAATAAAGTAATATTTGCAAATTTTAGTTTGGTTGGTGAGAGTTTCTCCAACAAATTTTTATATTAGAGAGTTAAAATTTAAAATCTTCAAAGAAAAATAGAAGCGTACTCGTGTAATGCACCGAAATATCGATTTTAATGTTTTGTTTTTATTTTTTTTGTATCTGTCGATGTTATAATACAGTTTTATGTGGTTTTGAGAAAACGATGATATTTTTATTTTTAAATAAAATATAAATTTGAAGATATCACAAAATTTTGAAAAAAAAATATTGATATTAGTTCAAATCAACTATATAAGAGTTCTTGGTTTTTTTTTTTTATGTGATCTCTTTAATTTAATCTTTTTTTAATAATTTAATTAATGAAGTAATTTGTTTTTAACAACTACATGTTAATTTGATGGAATTAAATTCTCAAATTTCATAATACCAAATATCCCCTTAACTAAATATACCCTAATCTCATAAAACCAATAGCCACCGTCGACCACCTTCAACCATCGTCAATCTAAATCACTGCCGATCGCTGCCATCTGAATCACCGTCGACTATTGCCATCTGAACCATTGTCGACCACCAACTACCACCGATCTGAAGCACTGCTGATCCGAAGCACCGTCGACCACTATCGATTTGAACCACCGATCTAATCCACCGTCAATCTGAACTACCGTCGATCACCGCCATCTTAATCACCATGGACCATCACTTATCTGGATCACTGTCGACCATCACTATCTAAACCACCACGGGCCACTGTCGATCTAAACCATCGTCAACTTCTACTATTATGAACCACCACCGGGTATCGCCGATTTGAACCACCGCCCGGACCATCACCGATCTGAACACCACCAATCTAAACCACATCCGACCACTGCCACCTGAAACACCACAGACCACCACCGATCCGAACCACTGCCGACCACCGACGACTACCACCGATCTGAATCACCGCCGACCACCAACGATTTGAACAATCATGAATTTGAGTCAACGCCGCCACCGTCAATCTGAACCACCGCTGACTATCTCCATCTGAACCACCGCGATCACCCTCGTTCTAAACTACTGCTGACCACCGCTACCTGAACCACTGCGGACCATCACCGATCTGAACCACCGCCGACCACTGTTGATTTAGCAACGTCGTTTGGCTTATGGTAATATTTGTGTTGTGTATTATATATTGTTTTACATATTAAATAATTATTTTTAGTTTTTTAAAAAATACAATTTTCAGAAAATAACATTTTGGACATTTACCAATACTTCATTCTAATTTATAAGCTACATTATGTGAATCAAACAGATATATTTCATTCCAATGTTTGTCAACCAAACATGTGGTCAAACCTGACAACATTACATTCCAATTTCTTCAAAATCAAATTCTTTTAACATGTTCCACTCCATCTATTCTGAAAACCAAATACCACCTTAAAATACTCCTGTATTAACATTTGACATAAGGTTATATTTGTTAGATATTTTCTGGTGGGTTATGTGGTTTTAAACGAAATTATGATAGGTTCAGATTGCAGTAATAATCAATCTGAAACTAAAGGGTTTTACTAAACGTTTATTTGGGTAAGTGAACACCAAATTATTTTACCTTACTGGATGAATATGGTAAGAATAAAAAATCTTACCCGGTAAGAACGAGACAATGACCAAGAGTCTTATCCAGTAAGTGAGGGCGACGACTCTTACCACGGTAAGCGTTTACGGGGTAAATTGTTGTATACGATACAATTTTGGTGGACTAAAATCTTATTCAGTAAGTAAATGATAGTGTTAAATTTATCGGTAAACACTTACCAGATCTGTGTTTGATAAACGACACCTAATTTTATTCCTTTTTACTTGTATTTGATCTACAATAGAAAATAGACTCCATTAATCCAAAATTCGTTTTGGCCCATTAAAAGCCCCATTGGAAATGCTGGCCCAATTAACTAGGGTTCCAAAAGTAACTGTCGTATAAAACCCTTTTTTCTTCGTTACAGAAACAAGCAAGTGAGCAGACGCCGGAATCGTGAGCGAAAAGGGGGTAACCGCAAAAGGTTCTTCGCAATATGGTCAGTTGCTAACCTCAATTTAGTTTTTGCGATTGCTGAATCTGTTGCAATATTGTTCCGCTTTCCGCCGAGCTGATTTTGTTGAAATTTGGATTTGTCTGTGTAGACTTTTAAGCGAAGGAATGGCGGACGCAACAAGCATGGTCGTGGTCATGTCAAGTTCATTCGCTGCTCCAACTGCGGCAAGTGTTGCCCAAAGGTTTCTTCTTCTTTTGCCTTTTGTTTTGTAATCTCTTGGCTATATTCTGAATGTTCATTCAATCGAGAGAGCGGATTGGGAAGAATTTGATCTGTGTATAATTCATTTCTCTCTGTTTTTGTATATATGCATTGTATGTCAGTGATTATACAATATGATCTCTTCAATTTTTGGAGGATAATGCTACAATTGGATGCCAATGATTCGTATGATGTTCTTATTGTCCTTTTAATAGCTAAAGCTTGTTTTTATTGTTTAAGCATTTTCGGTTTGAGAACTTTATTGGATCGTCAATCTTTCGAATTAATTGAACAAGAACTTCTACATGAACCACTGATCATATATACGCTTATGCATATGTGTGTATATATATATATATATATATATATTGTTTGAAGGGGAGAGCAAATAAATTAAGACTTGCACTTGCTACAGGTGTGGAGTGTGTACCAAATGGATCAGATTTGCATTGTTGTCAAGAAAGCAAACAATTTTTCTGAAATGTCAATCAAGTCTATTCAGAGGAATTCATTTGCTTAGGTTGCATAACTAGGACATGCTGTATGTCACAAAAGTAGTCTACTTTTGTGAAAGTAATCCTTAAGTCTGGTAGCTTCTGCCATGGATAGGGAGATGATGAAAGCACCAAATGTAAGGCTTCATAGAATTTAATAACAATAAGAGAACTCAAATGGCAAATCTCATTATTACTGAAGCTTTCTGAGTACAAAGGTACACAATACACTTTTAGGGAATGAAAGAGGACATTTTTATATTTTCGGGAAGCTAATTGCAGGAAGATAAAATGGAAACTCAAAGTTGGGAAGGCAAAGAATACTGAGAAAGAAGGAAGGAAATTCTCAATGATTGCATACTCCCTCTGGTATAAGAGCCACCTCTAAATAGCCCATCCATCAGCATTATTTCTGTTAGGGATTATCTTTCTATTGCTTTTCCTTGTGCCCTGTATGAGGGACTCATTTGCCACCTGGTCCAATACAATATCAGTGTTGGTTATGCAAGGTGTTTCATCCGGTATCTCCTTATCTGGCATAACATTTTGGTTAGGAAAATTTGAACATTTTTCAGCTCAAAATAGGGTATGCCTCTAGCTCTTTGGTTTGAGAATGGGATATCTATTTTATATTGCTTATTATATTGGCAAGTTAAAAGGAAACTCATGACTCATTTCACTAATATTGAAGCACTCAGTTCTGCAGTTATTAATGTTATTTATTTTTATCAGGACAAGGCTATCAAGAGATTCCTTGTGAGGAACATAGTGGAGCAAGCCGCGGTTAGGGATGTTCAAGAAGCCTGCGCATTTGACCGTAAGACTTTTGGCATTGGCTTATCCAGATGTTGTAGATATTATTAATCAATATGGCTCTTATGTATGTTCCATTGTTCTAGAGTACACCCTTCCCAAGTTGTACGTGAAGATGCAGTACTGTGTTTCTTGTGCAATTCACTCCAAAGTTGTTAGAGTCCGATCTCGGACTGATAGGAGGAACCGTGAGCCTCCAAAGCGATTCAGTCGCCCTAGGGTATGTGCCTTATTCTTTATTTCATTTGTTTTCTTCTTGAAATACAAACTTTACTATCTATGCTGTATGTGTTGCTCTCTGGTTATGATCTGTTTTTTTTCTCTGAAAATATCCTACTTCGATTGAGCACACCCTTTATTATGTTGTTATAATCATTTGGGTAAAAGATGAACTGGCATATATTCATATCCTCTAATGAATTAAAGAATGTTGTTTGAAAATTACCATGAACCAACCGCAAAACTGAATTATCGTGGGAAGCAAATGTTCAGATGTCATAACTGTTGCTCAAGTTACATGACTGGCTTCTTCTCAGGTTTAGACGTATCACCATAAATTAATGGTATCTTGACCATCATCTTTCTTTTTTGAATATTTTGGTGTAAATCTTTTTATTGAAGGAATTAACTACTGTAAAGTTCCATTTGGTGGGTTTCACTTGTTCTGATCTATCTGCAATCACCATTACTTATTTGGTTCATTCATTATTTTCTTTGACTTGGTTGGCTACCACCAACTAATAAATCTGATTGTGACTTGCATGCCATAAGAAATTAGGAATGTACACCTGCTATGGGAATTTGTTACCGCTGCTTTGAATGACTATCTATAGGCACATCATATTCCGAATGAACTTTCAGTTCATGAATCTTTGAGGCCGTGTTCTATGAACCAAGCACCTTTCTTCCGTGTATCACATGTAGGAATTGTATTTGAAGTCATAGTTACAACATCTTTGATGGGAAGGAGTTTATACCAAACCAAACAAACCCAGTTACACCACCAAGGAAAGTAGGAGCTTAGGAGTAAGGACTAAGTAGGGAATGTTTTGTTTGATGGACGTCTTTTAGGGATTTTATTCATTCCTTGTAGATAATTTATAAAAAATAATTAAATTACTTTTCTATTAATTGGTTTTTATAAAACATGCTTTTGACATATTTTAAAACATTATGAAATTCTGTGTAATACCAGCTACCCTCGTGAGATTTCTAAATCTAATGTTGGAGATTTCAGTTTCGGACTTCCTCTTAAACCTAACACAGGATTGGAATGAAATCCAATTCCAAATCCCACAAAATCCCGCAAACCAAATGAAATCCAATTCTCTGTCACAAGAGGCACAATCTGTTCTCTACAAGACCCCATCTTACGAAAAGATGCTTCTGGAGTTTATATAAAGATTAAAACGTTTTATAGAAGTCCTTGGGACTATGAGTTCTTACTAAAGAAGGCTTGTGGTTCGATCACCATTGAATAATCAACTTCCGTAAAATGGTGAGGATTGCAATGGTTTTTAATGTTTGTCAACTAACTCCAGTGACCATATAATTGTCGATATGCCAATATCTGCTTTTGTGTTAGCTGATCTTATTAGTGTGTGGGATATACTAGGTGTGTTTGGTTTAATGATTTACGTACTTTGTTTGTTTCAGGACGATCTCCCTAAGCCAGGTCAAGCACCCCGCCCAGGTGGTGCCACCGGTCCTCCTCCTGTGCGTACTTAAGGATAATCCTTGGATCATTGTACCGTCTGATTCCAAGATATTTTTGAATCTTGTGTTCTATATATACTTTCTAGGTTTTGGCCTTTTCGTCGACAAGATTCTGTTCTGCGTTTCATATTGTTAACAAATTTCGAACTTGAATGCTATGCAAGCTCTTTTCGTTTTGTTTTTTGTCCTTTCCTGTTATCCGTTATACAATGCATACTTTTAAGCGAAAATGGCAATCGAGCGATTACATGGTTTTGCATTTCAAACATATACTTTCGTTTCACGTCAACATTTATGCAAATAATAAAACCATGTTTGTGCGTTAAGTAAAACATATGCTTTCATGGATGCAACTCAACCGACTGATGATTTGCTCGTTCACTGCTAGAAAAACAGACCATCACTGTGACGGACCAAAAATCATGGGTGATCACAACGAATCGCCAACAAACACAACTTTTCCGTTGCATATGGTCAATGATTCATCGGTGATTTAAAATATTAACGACGGATTATTGATAGTCCTAAGAAATCAGTTTTTTTATGATAGAGTTGGTTAAAATTCTGTAGGTAAACGACGAGGGATCACTGATGGACGTTTAAATAATTTATTTTGTGGATCTCCTATCGGTGATAGCGAGTTAGCGACACTCAATGACGGATTTTCCCTCGAAAATCTGACAGACGGATTTCATCTGTACCGACAGGATGTGTCTGTTGGTAAAAGCATTCATGATTATGGTGGTTCCACCGAGTACTCTTGTGTCCCTAAGCAATAAAATGCATTTTTTTTTCAATTGAAAAATATACTTAGTTTGATCAGGACTGATTAGAACTTTGTAGCCTAAATCAACCTTAGGGACTGTTTACCCTAATGAGAGTAACACTATAATTTATTTTGATGCGTAAGATTTTAGTATATCAAAACATATCAAATGCAACAATTTACTGGGTAAACGTTTACCTGGGTAAGAGTCGCCATTCTCACTTATCGGGTAAGACTCCATTTTTCTCATCACTCTTACCCGGTAAGATTCTTGGCCCTTCTCATGTTCATCCGATGAAGAAATTTAGTCGTACATTTTATCATTACAATCATTGTCAATAGTGACGATCGCTAGTCTCGATGTTTTTGGTCGAGAGTTCTTATCCATGACATATATTTGGTCTTTAGTTTCTAACGCCGATCGTGACTTTGATCATTTTTACCCAAACAGTGAGTATAGCAAATGCCGAAAATCTTATACGGTATAAAAAAAAAAGAATCGATAGACTTACCTGATGAGTATAGAGACACCTGTTTTAATAATCTTAAATATTATCTAATAAAATAAACAAGAATACTAATTTTTTATAAATAAATATTTATTTTTTAAAAGTTAAATATTACCGTTAATTTATAAAAGTAATTGGCTTAATGTTGTCAGAAATGACTTGATGTGATTACGCRCACATGCAAATTGTCGTTGTCTTGTTAATTCCCCACCAATCATTTTATAATGCACTCCGATTACTTTATATAATGTTAAAAAAATTAATATGAAGTGTAATATTAGTTTTAAAATAAAAAATTAATATGACGTGGAATATTAATTTTAAAATAAAAAATTAATATGACGTGAAATATTAATTTTAAAATAAAAA